CTGGTGAGGCTCCAACTGGAGCACTGGGTCCAGTTCTGGGCTCCTCAGTTCCAGAAGGACAGGGAACTGCTGGAGAGGTGAGGGTGAGGGTGATCTGATCAATGCTTATAAATACTTAAAGGAAAGGAGTCAGGAGGACAGGGCCAGTCTTTTCTCAATGGTGCCCAGGGACAGGACAAGAGGAAATGGGCACAAACTTGAGTATAAGAAGTTCCACCTAAACATGAGGAGGAACTTCTTTACTGTGAGAGTGGTAGAGCACTGGCAGAGGCTGCCCAGGGAGGTGGTGGAGTCTCCTTCCCTGGCGACATTCAAACCCCCCTGGACACGTTCCTGTGGGACCTGCTCTGGGACATCTGGAGTTCCCAAATCTGTGGGACCTGCTCTGGGTGGCCCTGCTCTGTGACATCTGGAGTTCCCAAAGATGCCTCTTGCTTTTATCTTACCAGATACAGGTCTCAGGGTGAACTGGTTCCTAACTTAATCACCTCAGTCAATTAGATACTTTAGAATGAGACTTTGAGATTATATTTTTCAAGTTACATGACTCTTTTTTCTTTTTTTCTATGATTCCTTTCATTTTTTTTCCAAGTCCCCAGGTCTCAGGCTGGGAAACTGAAAATTCTGCTTAATCACCTCAGTCAATTAGATACTTTAGAATGAGACTTTGAGATTATATTTTTCAAGTTACATGACTCTTTTTTCTTTTTTTCTATGATTCCTTTCATTTTTTTCCAAGTCCCCAGGTCTCAGACTGGGAAATTGAAAATTCTAGGTCTCAGGGTGAACTGGTTCCTAACTTAATCACCTCAGTCAATTAGATACTTTAGAATGAGACTTTGAGATTATATTTTTCAAGTTACATGACTCTTTTTTCTTTTTTTCTATGATTCCTTTCATTTTTTTTCCAAGTCCCCAGGTCTCAGGCTGGGAAACTGAAAATTCTGATTTTACAGCAGCTTTTCTCCTTGCATGTGAATCTCAGCATGGACATGCTGGTCCATTGACACCTGTAGCCTCCTTTACTTGTGCAAGGCACTCATTTGGCTCCTGATTTGCCTCCCTGATTACTTATGTCATTCCCCTTCTCCGCGATGCAATATGTGATGCCGAAACTCAGTTTCTTTGGCTAAAGCACAAGCTGAGACTCTGCTGTTTCCTTTCCAGCAGAGGAAGGTCCTCCCCTGCAGACAGACCTCTCGTACTACTCCTACGAATACGACCCGGACCCCTACGCATCCGAAGCGGACGTTTTTGAGATTGTGGCAGAACTGACAACAACAAGCACGACGAAAGAAGTGGACAAGATTCAGGAAGTAGTGACTACAGTAGAATGGTGAGCCCAAGGGCGGGGGATCATAAAGCTGGTTTAAGACTCAACATATACTATAATAACATGATAGTAACTCATGTGTTGGGTCAAATATATTCAGTTCTTCAAAAGGGGCATTCTTACAACTGAATTCCGAACCTCTTTGGGAAGGAATCACCAGGAACAAGGCCTTGCTAGGGCAGCATATAAAAGTCTTCATGACCTGAATGTCTCCATCGCTAGGAGAATAAAAAGTGACCTTAAAAGTTTTTCTCTGCCCAGGCCCAGTGATGGGTCACAAAGGTATGTCATGTTGCTAGGGCAGCATATAAAAGTCTTCATGATCTGAATGTCTCCATCACTAGGAGAATAAAAAGTGACCTTCAAAGCTTTTCTTTGCCCAGGCCCAGTGATGTGTCACAAAGGTATGTCATGGGGAAAAAAGTGACTTTTCTTCATTATGTTCTCTTTTCAACAGAAATATATAATTTAAATGAAGAGAAGAGGCTCAGAATCAACTCCTGAATGAGTTTGTTCCTACAGATGACCTGCTGCAGAACAGAAACCGAACGATGACTACTTCCTGATGCACTCAGAACTGTAGGCTTTGCTGCCCCGTGGGGGGGACCTGGAGCGCTAAGGGGGGGGGACACTCAGCGTTATTTTTCTCTGTCCATTTTCCTGCCTTTTGTGCATCCTCTTTGGAGTGCTTCCAAGGATGGGAGACCAATATGCTGTGCCCTCTAGGTGAGAAAAAATAGGGGCTGGAATTCAAACCTATAGACCGTTTCAAAGTGTTTTCTCTACTATCAGAATACTGCAAATGCCATTTCCTAGCTACATTTAGAAGCTAAGTCCAGGCCTTGTGCTTAGCTGAACTGCTGTTTGGGGAAAGATGGCTGAGAAGTTTTCTCTCAAATTATAATAATAAAAATCAGTGTGTTTTGCTAATTATGACATAGCGAGAGGCTAAATCATCTTCCCCAGCCCCTAAGTCTGCTGCACCCACAGCAACGTCCTGCAAGAGAAGAACTTCCCTGGTGGCTCCATGTTCAGGGAAGTTGTTGGGGGGTACGTTTTACCAGAGGAAATCAGGGCTGAAGGGCTTGGCTGCCCACTGTAGGACCCCAGGCTTCGGTGGGGGGACAATTCCAGCCCAGAGCAGTGACAAGGATGAGGTGGGTGAGCCCCCTTGGCGTTGCACTACGTGCTGATGAGGGCTGCTCGGGGCCTTCTCAGCCCCTTTCCTCCCTGTAACCCCAGTGTAAAAATAAAGCTGACCCACGGCAGAGTCCTTTTAACTGTTTGCCTGACTTCACCAGTCACGTTTATTCAGCTCCCAGTAGGATTCCCCTTGCAATGGTCGTTCTGGGATGGTAATCTGGTCTGCTGCCCAGTACAGATCACTGGTGTCAGAGTGGACTCCCTTAGACTGACCTGCCCCGAGCAACGCGATAAAACTAAAACCAAAAGCTTTGTGTTTCCCAAAGGGCAGGAGCCAAGATGTTTTTGTTTCCCTTCCTGCCTGGAGCAGCATTGTTCTCTTTGGAGGAGTTACATGCAATGGCCTGTTGCAAAATAGGATTAATATTTTATCTTCCCAATTCTATTGTTACCAGCACCCAGAGCGGGATGGAAACTCCTTTTGAGGGTGTTTATTAGTGAATGGAAACAGGAAAAAGCCCAGCTCCATTCATTTTTAGGGCTTGTTTACACAGGAACCATGACAAGAATATATCCCAGCATAGACATTCCATTCCAGAATAAAGGCAATTTTATTCCAGAAAAATGTCTGCATGGGGACAAACCAGGAGGTATCCCAGAAGCTGGGCATACGTAGTTTCCAGTCCTTTTTGTCTGGAGCCAGATATTTGCAGAATGTAGTTGACATGATGAAGGTCTTGGGTCTTAAAAGTTCCCAGAAATTTCAGAACTGCTTTGTTGGCGAGTTTCCCAGCCTTCCCTCCCTGGATCCTGACGTGGCTGCTGCCCGGCTGTACCCGCTGCTGCTGCTCAGCAGAGGGTTTTGCCACGTCTCTTCGGTGTGCCTGGACAGAGCGTGTCCTCACTGCGTCCGCGCGGCGCAGCGGAAGCACCGGCGGCTGCATTCCTGGCTGGCAGGTAAATAAATGCCTTTAAACTAAATTCCATCATCTCCTGTAAGCGACTGGCCTGGCCGACACTGGCCATTGTGTACACACACGGGACTGAGTCAATATTTATCCCCTGGGTAAATAACAGACCGAGTGTGAGCTGCAACAAGAGTTGTGTGGTTATTTTTTTGTTTTGTTTTGCTTCTTTTCTAAATATCAAAGCTGCACAATACAAACCCTGCTGTTTGCTGGGTCCAGCCTCAGCTTTTAATGCTCTGAGCCTGGGAGAATGAGATGTTCAGTCACCCTGATAATGTCTGTCCCACAGAAGACAGGACCTGCATTCTGGATTCTTCAGTCTCTTGTCCTCTGTCCCTTTCTGGCTTTGGTTTCCTTGTCTCCACCATTGTGTGCTTCTGGATAGATAATTTGAAGTCATTTTTTATTGCTTGGTCCTCTCATAGATCTTTGGGCAGTTCAACAGCATCACTGCTGGGGACAAGGAGATGGAGGGAGGGAGTTCCAGCCAAGTATTAAACCTGACTTTCTTCACTTTCCTCCAGCTCTGGTATATGTAATGTACTAATTCGAGATGCAGACACCTCCCCGTTGCTGCCAGCTAAATAATTCCTCCCGATGGTGCCAGCCCATCAATCGTGGCCTTGTTCTGGGGGGTCTGTGAAGAAGAAAAGCCAGAGAGACCTGGACTCTCAGAAGGCAAAGGCAGAGCAGCCTGAGCACCCCTAACCAGCACTGGTTAGAGCAGGGGAGAGCGGGTCAGGTCTGTGCCAGGGTCTCTGGGGCCTCGACCACATCTTGAATTCTTCTTCACAGCTTTGGCACTTCAGGGAAATCACTAGTCCATCCACTCTCAGCACCCTCCGCCTCCCCCCAGACTTGCCACACCAAACTAGTTCCTTTCTGTAGTTTATAAAAAAGTCATTTTATTTCAGGATTTGAATAAAGGAGCCTGCTATTACACAGTTGTGGTTGCCTTTTCTCCTCTATCGCAGGAGAAAAGGAGCAGGTCTCTGCCCTCTTCACCCCAGCTGATGGTCTCTCTGTCCGTAGCTTCCCCTGTCCCAGATTTGTTGTCCCTCATTGCAAAAGGAAAAAAGCGCCAGTGGGTTTGTGAGACCCAGAGATTCCTCCTTACATCGAGTTTTGTTACTGAGTAGCTGCAGCAGCACGAGTTATCAGTGATTTTTGCTTGCAGCCCTTTCAATGAAATTAATATTTATGTATTTGTAAGTGTACATTATGCAGAGTAATCATTACTGTGGTATTTATTTTAAAACAATAGTTCCCTTGTTCTTTCCTGTCCAAGTGTTTCGGTCTTGCCTCTTTCCCTCCTCCTTAACCAGCCTCAGTAGAAAAGGACCACCAGAAGAACGTTCAGCTGGCTCGAAGAACGTCACTGAAACAGCAGGACTTGCTTTGCTGACGTCAACTATTGACATTTAATGCACAATAACCTGGTTATTATTTAAAAAATCTCAGCCCAGGTTGGTTTTGGGGGCTGGGGTTGGGTTTTTTGCTTTTTAGTACTTGCTGTTTGTGAGTGAGTGGCAACAGCCCTGGCTGCAGCAGGTCTCCTGTGCCCAGGAGCTGGCCTGTCCTCTGCACCCCCAGGAGGTGAGCTCTGCCTTTGGCCCCCACACTCATGTACACACCAACACTTCTATGACCTTTGTTTTGTTTTGTTCACACAAATCTTAGCAAGTCTGAGTCCGGAAAAGGGTTTGTTTTAGATTCTGATAAATATTTTATTAAAAACTGATTTTAAGACAACCTTGTCTGCCTCTTCTTGTTGTCTACACTGTGGGCTGTACGTTTGTCTGCTCGTGGGTTATGGTGAGGACAGACGTCGTGTCTGTACCAGGAAAACTAAAGAATTCAGGAACTCTGAGGGGGTTTATTGCTCGTTGTGTACCTTGCTGCTGGCTGGGATATGCCCTAGTTGTGTCGAGAGATGAGCTGGCTGTGTTTTGTCAAGTTTGCAACAGGTTCCAATAAGCAACAGGCTCGGTCCCAATTCATAGGAGACAGCTCTCAGCTGTGTGTGACATTACCCGAAAGGAGTGGGGAGTTCTACAGAGAGGCTTTTTTTCAATTCCTTCTTTAATATAGACATAATACATTTTTAAAAATCCATTAATGCAGTCTTTTCCCCAAAGAAATTACGGATGCCAAGGGTCATTTGCAAAAAAAGGGATTAGGGAATGGGATTTTTATACTTGTTGCCAACAATGGGCTGATCTTATGTGGTGGTGCTTATTAATCAAGCCAAGAATGTATTTGCTAGAAAATTGTTCGACAGAACATTTCAGACCAGGAGCTGTACCTTTCCCAGAGGCACCTCCTAGTACTTTTAGAAATGTTTAGAAATTTGGTTCTGCAAGTGCCTGTTCTTTTTCAGTTTTAGGTGAAGGGAACATGCGTTCGAGGACAGAAGCGAGGCAGTGGCAGCAAAAGAAATAGAACACAAATAGCAATGTCTGCAAAACCGGCGTTAGGAAAACCAGACCTAGGTCTTGTTGGCAAGAAGAGCATCCCCCCTGGCGCTGTGTGACCAGTTGAGGAGTTCCACGCGGTGTCCCAGTAACAGATCCATACGTGTTCAGCTCTCTGCATCTTGGCCGGGCTCCACGTCTCTCAGGGAGGTCCAGCTTGGTTCCGTTTTAGCTGTGCAGGCAGGAGAAAGGACCCCAGGGAACACTGCTCGCTGCTCCAGGTGGGATCCCAGTGTTGTCTTCCTCTCATCCCCAGTGTGTGTTGGGAGCGCCCTGGGAGCAGCGAGCTGGGGTGGAGGCTTTACACCAGTGAATCTTTGGAACTTTTTTGAGGGAGGGTTTCCTTGGAGGTTTTTAGGGACGTGGTGTTTTGTTTGCTGTGACTGAAGAATCTCCTCCTCACCTTCTCCCGGAAATCTTCGGAGACGTAGTAGTAGACGAAGGGGTCGGCGCAGCTGTTGAAGGTGCTGATGGCCAGGCTCACCATGTAGCTGATGTACAGGTTGCCGTACAGCTTGGAGTTATAGCTGGAGTAATGAACGAGGAGGAGAACGTTGCTGGGGGTGTAGAAGGCCACCAGGGTGAAGACCACGAGAGCCGTGAGCTTCATGGAGTAGGAGTATCTCTTCCCGCTGCGCAGGAGGGCTCGCAGCACCGAGCAGTAGCTGAAGAGCATCACCACCAGAGGAGCGAGGAAGGCGCAGGCGATGAGGCAGACGAAGTAGTAGAAGTAATACCCATCATCCTCATGCCGGGGGAGGACATCGTGGCAGAGGGTGACCCCGGCTCCATAGAGGGGGTAGGACTGTTGCTGCAGGGTGAGGGGCAGGGTGAGGACGGCGGCGCAGAGCCAGATGGCCGTGCAAGTAGCGGCGGCGAAGGCCGGGGTGCGGAAAGAACGCGAGAAGAAGGGATGCACCACGGCCAGGTAGCGGTCAACGCTGATGCACGTCAGCAGCAGCACCGAGCAGTACATGTTTCCGTAGAAGAAGGATGTGGTGAGTCGGCACAAGCCTTCCCCGAAGGGCCAGTGGTTCCCCAGGAAATAGTAGAAAATCTTGAAGGGCAGCACCAAGACGAGCAGCAGGTCTGCCGCCGCCAGGTTCATCAGAAAGACGGTGGAGGTCAGCTTCTCGGTCCTGGTGGCCAGGACCCACAGGGCCAGCCCGTTGGAAGGCAGCCCCACCAGGAAGACGAGGGTGTAGAGGCAGGGGATGAGGCGCACGGTGACCGCGCTGCCCAGCTGAGAGCGTACGGCCTCGGGTACCAACAGGTACGTGACGTTGTGGATGGTCACCTTTTCCCCGGGGATGGCTCGGGGAAATGGTGCGATCACTGGTGTTGTCATCTGCTCATTGGTGATGTTCTGGGAATAATCTGTCAGAAAAACACAGTCTGTTGCTTGCTCTTCATGCAGTCCCCCTCCTGTTTTGCAGAGCAGGCTTGTATCTAACAACACCCCAAAAATTAAGGTTTGCATTTCACCTTGGGGTCCCTGGAATTAGGAGTATTCTGTAAAACACTGTTGTGTGATGGGCAGAAAAAGCTGGCAAAGAGAATTGGGTGTGCAGCAGGAACCACCCGGAACCTTACTGAAAATTTACACGATCCCTCTGCCGTTGTCATCTGCTCATTGGTGATGTTCTGGGAATAATCTGTCAGAAAAACACAGTCTGTTGCTTGCTCTTCATGCAGTCCCCCTCCTGTTTTGCAGAGCAGGCTTGTATCTAACAACACCCCAAAAATTAAGGTTTGCATTTCACCTTGGGGTCCCTGGAATTAGGAGTATTCTGTAAAACACTGTTGTGTGATGGGCAGAAAAAGCTGGCAAAGAGAATTGGGTGTGCAGCAGGAACCACCCAGAACCTTACTGAAAACCTACACGATCCCTCTGCCCTGTGGTTTCCCACAGCTCACAAACAATCGCTGTGTTGCACAGCAATAGCCCAGGGAACCGGAGAGTAATTCCTCTGCCCGACTTTCAAAGGAACCCTAAGATCTCCAGGGTAAAGTCAGGGCTGCAGGAGTCTAAATTTTAACTAAAGATTTTGGTTTCAAGTGCTCTCTGTTCTACTTCTCCAATTTTCCCTTATAGTTTCTTCCACCCCAGTTTCTTTCTCTGCTCCATCACCTTCTGGCACCTCCTGCTCTGACTAGAGCACGCACGAATCTCAACTAGAGTGGCTTCCCATGGGATAGCTTTAAAAAAGATGAGTTTTCAGGGGTTTTATAAAGGTACCAAGTATAGAGTACTTTAAGAAAAGCCACACTCACCGTCGTAGTCCGAAGAGGCCAGGCAGAGTCCCCAAAAGGCCCAGCACAGCACCAGCCTGCGTGACAGCCGTCCCCTCCCGAGGGTCTCCATCCTGCTGCAGGACCCGGCGGTGCTCTGCTGTGCTGGGAGCTGAGGGGGAAAGGCAGGAATAGTGACCCTGCTTACGCATTTCCTCTGCTGCTCCTTAACTCACGGAAGCACCAGGCTCATCCCGTGAAGGACGAGGCGTGGGGAGGCTGTCACGACACGCACTGGCGTGTGTTGCCCCAGTTCCAGTGTCAGAGGCAGGATGGGGAGGGACGTACATACCCAGACCACCAGTTTATTGGGGCTGCACATCAGCGTCAGAGACGGGTGATGGCTCCAGTGACTCATTTGGGCCCTCCTTCCTGCTCCAGAATGTGGTCAGATTTGATGCGCTTTGAATTTGGTTTAAAGCATAAACTGAACTTCTGACCTCCCACATCAAGCCTCCTTCCACCCAAGAGAGACCCAAGTGGCTCCGCGTGAGATGCGAGGTCTTTCCCCACTCCTGACTCAAAATGCTTCCAGTTAGTGCAAACTGACAATATTATCATCCCCTCAAAGGAACATAAACAAAGTGTGGGAGAGCTGTAGATCCAGAGATACCTCCCCAGCACCCACACAGGGCTCTTGCAACCTCGTGTTGTGGCAGTCATGGGGTTTTAGTGTCTGCCCTGCAGCCCCCACATCAGGCTGGGCTCGTTGGTGTCATCTTCTTTCTTTATTTCAGCTCCTGCAGGGAGCTAAACAGGGGACAAAGCTCCTGGGCCGCCCTCCTCCATCTCCCTGCAGAGGTTGATGAGAAGTTCTGTGGGTTGGAGCTATTTCCATTTGAAAGGATCGGGCCCAGCACCAGCCTGGAGTGTCATAACATGGAGAGGAGAAGTGGGAAGGTCTCAGAGCTTGATGGAGATGCTGGAGACGCTGTGCTTCCACTGATAAACCTCCGGGACTGGGCAGAGTAAGAGAGACCCAAGTGGCTCCGCGTGAGATGCGAGGTCTTTCCCCACTCCTGACTCAAAATGCTTCCAGTTAGTGCAAACTGAGAATATTATCATCCCCTCAAAGGAACATAAACAAAGTGTGGGAGAGCTGTAGATCCAGAGATACCTCCCCAGCGCCCACACAGGGCTCTTGCAACCTCGTGTTGTGGCAGTCATGGGGTTTTAGTGTCTGCCCTGCAGCCCCCACATCAGGCTGGGCTTGTTGGGCTCATCTTCTTTCTTTATTTCAGCTCCTGCAGGGACCTAAACAGGGGACAAAGCTCCTGGGCCGCCCTCCTCCATCTCCCTGCAGAGGTTGATGAGAAGTTCTGTGGGTTGGAGCTATTTCCATTTGAAAGGATCGGGCCCAGCACCAGCCTGGAGTGTCATAACATGGGGAGGAGAAGTGGGAAGGTCTCAGAGGAGACGCTGGAGACACTGTGCTTCCGCTGATAAACCTCCGGGACCAGGGAGAAGCAGCTCCATCCAGCAGGAAAGGGGCCTGACAAGGGTGCACAGGAAGACTCTGCTGGTGGGCAGATAATGGTGGATTTCACTCACTCTTGCCCAAGAAGAGCTGTGTTTTTCCAGAGATGTGCTGTCTCCACCCAGTAAAACCCCAAGAGGGTTGAGCACACTCTTAGCTAATGGCTTGGAGCAGCGGCCATGCTGCTGCCACAAACCTGCTGCTTGTATGGAGAAGACAACTCACATGGTTATGTTAAGAGGGACCCTTCACTGGCAGATGTTACCTGAACCTTTAAGATCATTTTCTACTTGGTCCTCCCTTCTCTAAGTCCTTGAGAGCGTCACTCCCTTCCATGCTCTGCTGGGAATGTCCCAAATCCTCTCCCATCACCAGTGTAGGAGCCCCAAGGCCCTTCCCCATGGTCATCAGGTGGGTTCAGGAGCTCATCGAGTGGGGCAGGAGGCCACAGCTTGAGAGGTTGCTGGTTTTTGGGCTTCTGCTCTCCAGGCCCTGCGAGGGAGCGTGGACAGAAGCTGGAGGCCGGGCAGTAGGAACTGTAAATTTGGTTTGGCAACCCGAGGAGCAGCTTGTTTCTTTCTCCTCAGCTTATGAATGGCCTCTTCTGTGAAGGTTGCAAATCTGAGCCTGGCTGCTGTTTGATGAGATTCTTCTATTCCAAGGAGAAAATGATCCTATTTCCTTTGCTTTCACCATATTCCCACATCCTTGCGCCGAGCGTGTCGAGAGGTGGAGTTCCACTGGCAGGGACGGGGAAGATGCAATGTTAGATGTTTTGCTTTTGTGATTCTCTCAGGATTTATGAACCATTACAGGGTGACTCATGCGGCCACATATTTTCCGTGCCTCAGCCAGGATCCTTTCCATGCTCTGTGTGCAAAAAATTAGACATAATCAGGTTCAGATAGTGTGCGAATCGCAGCCCCGCTTCCTACGGGCCAGGTCTCTGGAGTGGAGCAGAGAGAGGTTACTCATTGCTAGATCCTTCATTTTTCAGATGCTGGGTGATCTTTAGTGACTGCTTTAGATGCAGAACAGCTTGTCTTCAAAATCCCGATGCCAGAGGGTTGTCACGGCTTGTTAACATCTCTTCAAGTGGTGGGATCCCTGCCCTGTGGGGTGACAATTTGGGTTTAAAGTAATTCATTGTGCAATAGGTCGTCTCCTGGGAGAAGGCACTCTTTTATTCCGTGGCTCTGAACCCAAAAGATGTAATGCTGGAAAAGAAGGGAGGGATTTTAAAGCTGGGAGGGAGGGTACAAACACCACCTGGCCTGGCCTGGGCATCTCTGAGGCTGGGAAGAGCAAACCGTGGTATGAAAATGATGGGCCTTCTAGGTGAGCTTGAAGATCCCTTCCAACCTAAACCATTCTATGATTCTGGTCTGTTCCAGCAGCTTCAGAGAGTTCCTCAGGTCCCAGCCAGCAAGTGTGAAGACAGAATTAGTGCAGCTCTGACCTCCAGCACGAAGCGTTTCCACCGGTGTCAGCAGAACCTCACGTTTTCCATGAAGGCAGTGCCAGCCCTGCCTTTCCCTCCCATGGGGTGTCTGAGCCTTCTCAGACCCATATGGCTCAGAAAATGTCCACTGACTCCTGAAAAAGACATGATGGTCCTTTGAACCAGAATCCCCCCACCCCAGATTTGTCTTTGTAGGCTTTGGTACAAGATGACTTTGTGCCTTGGGCGCTCTTCTGGCTTTGCCATCACACCAGCTCCTGCTTCGTCAGGACTCGTACCATCACCCTGAGATTCTCCACAGCTCCAGGGGGGCTCTGATGCTCTTCTGCTTGTTCCACAGTTCTCCTGGTCCCCTCTCTCCTTGGTTACACCACACCTTTTGTGCTCACATTCTCCTCTCCCTGCCGTTAAGCCTCCTGCTGGTGTAATATTTTGGGAGGGGACAGGTTCTTTTCAGACCTACTCTTCTGCTTGCTTGAGGTTTTCGCTTCACGGGGTAGGAAATCCACATGAAGCCATTTTTCAGGCATATTTGAAGTTTATTGGCATCGCTACAACTCGCTTGGGGTTCTGGAATAGCTTCTTTTGGTCCTTCATGAGCAAGATACCAACACAGGGGCAACCTGGCCTGATACAGACATCATCCCTTTTCAGCACTGGGTCTCAGATGGTTCTTTTTGGCTTCATCCTTCAGCGCAGGTGTGGTTTAGAACTGCTAGGAGTTAATTTAGTTTTTAATTTTGATGAGTGGAAGGTAGAGCCTAGCTCTAGTTTCATTAAGGTTGAGCGAGGTGTTTCCAATCCAGAGGAAGGGCTAAAGTGTGGAGAAAAACTCATCTTGTTTACACACGTAGTTCTAGCACTTCTAGACTCTCCCTGGTTCACGTCTCTCTGTGCATCACTGTGACATGGGAAAGAAAAAAAAAAAAGTCCTGAAATGTTGAATACTGAATTCAGGTAATTCAGAATTTAGCGATTCTTCATTTAATTTAGAAAACCATTAATTGATGGTTGGGCTAGATGATCTTAAAGGTCCCTTCCAACCTTGGCAGTTCTGTGATTCTATGATTCTGTAATTCTTACTCCATCCTGCAAACCTGAAAGGTATTTTTTAAGGTGTCTCCCTTTGCTGTTGCCAAAGCTGTCCTTACTGAGGTCTCCAGCTGCTCCCGGGTGATGTCAGACCGGGCTGTCCCTCCCCTTCCGCACAGGGAATGTCCTTCTTGTGAGGTGGCCAAGACCTCTGTGTCAAGGGGACTGTGTCCTCCCAGACACCAGACCGTGGGGTTAATCGAGTAATTCCGGGCGGTTTCTGCCTCGGAGGGTTGTTACTGGGAGAAGAGCAGTTTGTTTCCCCCCCCGAGCAAGGGACTGCAGAGAGAGCAGAGCTGCCTTTTGTTATGGCAACAGAAGTGTTGGGGCTGATGTAAAGGAAACTCCTATCAGATCTGGGTCACATCACCACGGCTCAATTTGCAAAGATCTACACATTTCACGCGTCGTGCAGAGCTCACGGGGAAGGCAGTTACACATGTTATTACCCAGGAATTCGGGGAGGTTGAGGGGAAGGGGGTGGAGGGCTGTTTGCATGGTTGCAGTTGCATTGTCTTAACCTGGAGCAGATGTTTTAGAGATTTCGGGACTGGGATCGGTCGCTTCTCTTGCCCGGCTGGTGTATTTAGCGTGCGAGTACTTGGGGGCCAGGCCTGGGCTGGGTTTTTGCACCACACCTCTCAATCAAAATATTGATTATTTCTAAATTTATCTGTGCCTGGAGCAGCTGTGCCACCCCCCGGGCTCCTGTGCTCTCTTACAGCTGGGGACCTGTGCTCCAAGAGACATCTGGGCAGCGCACACGTATGGTTGGAGCCACAGGGACCACCTTCCTGCCCAGGATCTCCTCTGAACGACACCTTCAGGCAACTCATTTCCCACTGACGTTGGCCAGGGCACTAATTACCTACACTTACCATGCAGGGTAAAGGTTTGCTGCCTCCTGGCCCCCTGGAATTGAGCTGGGACACATCGAAATCACACATCCCACAGCCTGCTCCACAACCACCTGAAGGGAAGTTCACCCAACTCCTCCATTGCGTTTTTCTCCTATTTAAAATTCGGTTTTGGGTGCAAGATAAGTAATTCTGGGCATTGTCAGAAAGTTTCAATTCATTTTACACAAATTTAAAACATTGAGAGCTGCAGACTTTTAAAATCAATATTTTATTTTACTTGAATGTGCAAATAAATATAAAAAAAAAACTACATTCAAAGAGCTGGCAAAGCAATTACAAGCCCAAAAGCAAAGATCCTTCAAAAAAAAAAAAAAAAAAAAAATGGAAGAAAAAACTCTTGACTGGGGGGGGGGCGAGCAGAAACACAGCAGTCGAGCCCCAACT